GCGTGTAAATGAACTTAAGAAGCTCTGTCTAGAGTTAGGCATTGAAAAAAAGGTGGAATTCAAAATTAATATTCCATTCGAAGAACTAAAGAGGCATCTGGCTGATGCAACTATTGGACTTCACACCATGTGGAATGAACATTTTGGAATTGGTAGGTATTTTTGTGTATGTTCTATAAACTGCTTCTTAGAAAATTTCAGTCAGTAAAATAGATTGTGTAATTAAGATTTAATTTGCATTTTCAGATCAAAAAGTGGCATTATTACCTCAAATTGGCATGGTGATTCACTATACTGCCTGACCTAGAATGGTCCTTGTATATAAACTGCCATGAATACTTGCTATTAATAACCAGATACTGTATTCTCATCAAGATTTTATGTGATTATCTCAGGTTTTCTCTCTTTACTCATAGTCCTAAAAAGTAGCGAATAATACTTGTTATGATTCACATAATGTCATAAACATTATACATGATTAACTCTGAAATTTGTTTAATATTTTTGATATTCATGGCCAAATTGTCAGCTCTCTTAAATACTGAAACTGAATACTTAGGAATTTTAAATAAGACATAAAGATCAACAAGTAAGAGGCAATTGTTCCAGAAACCCATAACAGGGAAATATTTGATAGGAGAGGTATACTAGTATGCTGCAACATATTGAATATTTCTCTGACATTTATTTAATAGTATCTATAGCCTGCCCCAATTGTGCAAACTGAGAAGTAACCAATATTACATCAGTTCAGTATATGAACACAATGTTCATATAAGAGTACATCCAGTACATTCGAATTGAACTCAGGCTTATTAGCAACCAATAGTAGGGCCTCAAAATAGTGTTACTCTGCCCTACCAAGTTCTTCTACTGACTCAATCTAGACACTACAGTACATTCTGTATCTCTTGTAGCTTCTGTGTTGTCTTCAAAGGTAGCCTGGTACAGAGTGCTGGAGTTACTGTTGCCAAGGCATTGGTCTTCAGATAGGACTGTAAATGTTGCACCAGCCAAAGCTGGATAAAGCTTCTTTTGCCCATGGTCTCCCCTTACTGTTGAAGCAAGAGCTGCCAGTCAAGGAGACCATGTCTTTAAATTTCCTCTAAGTAAATTACTTGGATTTTGTGACTGCAGGATCAGGACTTGAATCTTAGGACAAACAGAAATGTACTCTGATGACTACTTTTTAGAAAGCATTCTTTACCTGGCTGTTTTCAAATTTGCACCACTTTTCTGGTGCAAGAGGGATATGTGCTACTTTAAAATCAGAAAAGATAAGAGTCTAAATTGTGCCTTTTCTTTCTATGCAAAGTTGCAATAAAGATTAAGAAAGAATGAAAGAACCACAGTATTAACAGCAATCTGTTCTATGTCTTTTATAGGAATTGTTGAATGTATGGCAGCTGGCACAATTATTCTTGCTCACAATTCTGGAGGCCCCAAATTAGATATTGTGGTACCGTATGAAAGAAATGCTACTGGATTTCTAGCAGAAGATGAAGATGGCTATGCAGACTCTATGGCTCATATCTTTTCATTATCTCCTGCCAAAAAGCTGCAGATCAGACAAAGTGCTCGTGAATCTGTGAAGAGGTTTGCTGATCAAGAATTTGAGAAAACATTCCTATTGTCTGTAGAGCAGCTATTTAAATAAATTATTTTGCTTGTAAATATATGACATACTTGAGTTATTATGGCACTACAAATTATACATGTTCTACATTTCTATAGTGCAATAAAGATTTTAATCTTTAAATACTGAAGATATCCTGATACAGCACATTTCTTTGACAGATTTTTATTTTATAATGTCATAGTATTTAAGGTTCCACTTAATCTTCCCAAAATTATCACAAAATATCCAATGTTCAATAGTGATTACCTAATTCTTGTCATAATAGCATTGAACATATATTTTTAATGAATTAATTGTATAAAGGCTTAAATCTATTTCATCATTTTAATTCTTTCCATAATCTATTCTAAATAATTCATCCAAGATTGAATGCCTAAAACTTCATTACAGATCAACAGTCAAAATAATGTTTATTGAAAAATGTGTCCTTTGAAACCATCCAAATTGTACATTATCTGAAGTTGTCAGATAACATATATGATAATGACCTCAGAAAAATCAATTTACATATGAATTTGTTTTTTTTAAAGGATTGCTGAGGCAATATAGAACTGAATTCCCCACTCATAAAATTAGTACATTCAACGAAGTTAGGTTAAAATAATCTTAACTTTTGCTGTCATACTGAGATATATTTCCTCCATTGGAGAATTCAAATACTTAAGCTCCCTCACCAACAAAAGAATTAGTCCAGCCCAGATCCAGGTTTACCATTTTATTGAGAATTAGATCTAGATTAAGTTAAGATCTGTTTTCATCCAAAAAAATGAAACATGGTGATGAGTAGTAAAGCTCTATATTTATTGGTGTTATAAATTTGGTTATTGAGGTGCATCCTTGAAAGTATCTCTACACTGACAGTTTATTAATAGCAAAGAGATATATACAAACCAAGAGAGAAGAATTCCAGCTCTAGAGATTTTTACTTTGATATACTAGGCTACTGTGTAAAATTTATAACGAAAATATTAAGCACCCACTTTCTAAACTCTGGTCTTAACATGTATACAATTGGTTATTATTAATTCTTAAGTATTTATTACCCAAGAATGTGTTAACTGATTGCACTTTGTTTTTCTCCAGCCAAGTCATTATTATTTTCCAAACTGTCATTAGATTTGCTAAGTTTGCTATCGTCTGTAAATTGTTTTTGTTGTTCCATGTTTGCCGATTCAACTGGACTTCTTGAAATTTCCTCCTCTAGAGATGTTACCACATTTTCTAAAGATTCCACTAGCTCATCTCTCAGTTCATCTTCAGATTCTTCAAAGTTTCTGGACAAGACAAAAAAATAGTGTTCTGTTTTTATTAAATTATCAAAATGCTATGTTTACAAAGAAGGTAGCACTTCTGAGTACTAGATGGTACATCTAGTACATAACATCTATATAACAGGCTTTATTGTATGCAGAATCTGAAAGGATTATGATTTGGGCAGAAGTGTCAAAATGATATTTATACAAAGACATGCTCTCATAGATCCATTAAATAAACAATATCACATCTCTATAGCAGTCTATTATTGGTGTATATATTTGAATCCATTGTAAATAGAAAACTAGAGTGATACAGTGTCACTGTGAGGGCCTTTAGTTATGCAAATTCATAGTTCCACACAATTCCAGCCAGCTAATAAAAACTCAACGATAGGCATGCAAGCTCCTTGTTACGTTAGTGGAATTTATTATCTAGATGAATTATCTATGTGCAGTGTACTGTTTTATAAGCCCATTCATACAATTAATTTTGAATGCTGCAGTTGGGAATTGATTAGATAACTGCAACATTTAACCCATCACAACAGCTTACTAATCACCTATCTATTGATTCAATCATCAATTTATTCATGAGTTCAGCTGTGAGTGGGCTGATAGACTCTTTCCATTACTTTTTAGATATGCAGAGCAAACTTGTTTCTGATTGGCAGTATTTTAATTTATTGTTTTGTTTCAATACATGTATTTGACATGATTGTCATTCTCAGCTTTTGTATACTTGTACAGGTATTAAAATCTAGGCTGTTAGTTAAAAAATGTGTGCTGAACAAAAGATTGTATGAACAGTTTTTCAAAGGGTCAAGTTATACATCCAGCTGTTGTAATAACTTACGTATCTTCATCATCTGATCTTGGATCAACTTTACTTTCATCTGGGTTAGCAGCCAAATTAACTCCTGGAGCATCTTTAATAGATTCTGGAATCCCCTGATTTATTGTTTCTTCTGAAAGAATAGTATTTTCATTTCATAGTGATTTCATATACCAAGTTTCATTACCATTTCATGAAATGTACCAAGATAGCTTAAACTAATACCAAAAATATATTGTATTAAAAATAAAAGTTCTATAGAGTAGGATGGAGGGCTGCTTTCATATTCACAAGTCTATACTAATTTTATGTAAATGTACTCCTTATTTCATCTGATTCTTGCTTTGCTAAAGTATTATGTGCTTAAATTTGATTTGTTGAATATCCCACAACTGACTAAACAATAAATCATGGCTTATATAATTTACAAACTAAAGTGGCACAGCTCACACAATACACTTAAAACCAAACATGGCTTAAGTTGACAAGTGAATCCAATTTTTGTGTAAATTGGCAGTTTTATCTTTAACTTTGAATGTAATATTTCCATTGCTGACCTGTCAGGACTGACTCTGCTCAGTCTTAATTGAAACTTGTTGTTCCTAAACAAAAGGTCTTAGCTTTTAACTCTTGGGAAAATATTTGATATATTCATACTTGAGTTAATGTTTCAACATCTATCTAAGCTGTATTTAGTAAGCTATTAAAATTGTTTGTCAACACAGTATACACATTAGCTTCTATTTTCTGTCACTTGCTATCTCCAAAAAATTGTGAAAGTGACTGTGTTGCTCATTGGTTACATAAGAGTCTGAAATTCCTAACCAGTTTTAGTGATTCGTCCATTTATTCCATTTAGTATGACTATCTAACTACTTAGAAACAAGCATCAATAGCTTCCATGGAACTTAACTCCCAGAAAAAGTGAGATGAAAAATTAAAAGGATGTTATCAACAAAATATCTTTTCTCTAAAAGATGAATGTTTTTAAGTAAGTTAATGATATGGCCTAATGATTGGTGATTCACTCTCTTGCATATATAAAAAAAATCCCATTATGAAGAATTGATCATTCTAATAGAATGCAAAAATATATAAGAAAATAAGGCTGCCGCCTCATGTAAAAACTCAAGTAAATATTGCTGGTTTAAAGTTACATCATCATTGTAATTAATGTGGGGTATATTATTGTTATACTTCGTAACATTATCATTTACGGTACCTTGTTGCTTACAAGCAGGCAAATGATTTTGATTTCATTTTTATTAAGGTGACTTTTATAATCTTTGCATGCACATAACATTTAGAAATTACTTTTACAGTATTTAGATATATTCCTGTCATATTTTTTATTAATTTAATTCTTTATATTTATTCCTCTTATCCTCTTAGAATAATCTCTCTTAGGATGAGGGTTAGGCACATTTACTTCCCTGTGCACAACCTTCCTCTTTCCTTCTTGGAATATTCCAAATATATTCTACATAATCCGCCAGCCTAGGACACTGCAGCAGAAATTGGGGAAGTGAGGAAATAATGGAAGAAATATCTATTCCACTTTTCCACCTGTATGCGGACACCAGTGGATACAAATCTTAGATGCCACTCTAGTTTTAGTCTAATGCAGGGGTAGGCAACCTTGGCTCTTTTATGACTCGTGGACTTCAACTCCCAGAATTCCTGAGCCAGCCATGCTGGTTCAGGAATTCTGGGAGTTGAAGTCCCACGAGTCATAAAAGAGCCAAGGTTGCCTACCCCTCGTCTAGTTCAACCTGTTATGCAGATATATCATTTATTGCACTAATTGTTAAATAAAAATTCAACATTAACTTCAAATAATAAAAGATGCAAAAAACAACTTACTATGTTCTTCAGTTTGGCACAAGGTGTCACTGGTACATTCTGCTTCTGCTAACATGTTCATTAGAGTACTTGGTAATCTTGGGCTCCATTTTTTCCTAATTTCAGGGAACTCAGATTGTATTTCATTTACCTGGCCAGCTGAGGGGAAAAAATGTTATCTTCCTTATACAGGTAATCCTTGACAGGTATATGACACTGAAAAAAGATACTTACGACGATTTTCACACTTACAATCATTACAGCATCCCTGTGGTCATGTGATAAAAATTTGGACACTTAGCAACTGGCATATATTTATGATGGTTGCAGTGTTCCAGTGTCACGTGATCACAAGCAAAGTCAACGGGGTAGCCAGATTCACCTCACAACCATGTTACTAACTTAACTGCAGTGAATTACTTTAAAATTGTGAGAAGTATGGTCATAAAAATGGGGTAGAATTCACTTAGCAACTGTCTTAGCAATGGAAATTTTGAGCTCAGTTGTGGTCATAAGTCAAGGACCACCTGTATTTTGATAAAAATATTAATATAGATTTGATCCTCTTTGTGATCCATTTCCATTTTTCTCCCTTCTCTCCCTTTTTTCAATCCTGGAAATTACTGAATTATCCTCCAATCAAAATTACCTGTCCTAACTTAACAATTGATCACTTATGTTATGATTGGTTTTGGGTTCTAGAGATTCTGAAGATTGGCCACCCTTCCCCCTCAATTTTAGTTTAAAGCCCTCCTGATGAGTTGGGCCAGTCTTTTTCTGAGTATATTTTCCCCTATTTTTGTGAGGTGCAGCCCATCCTTGCCAAAAGTCCTTCGTGTAGGAAATGCAGTCCAGATGACAGATTCAAAATTACTTATGATCCAACCTTGAAGTTATAACTGTCATAACCTCCCCTTATGGTCACATGATCGCATTTCGGATGCTTGGCAACCAGCTTGTATTTATGACGGGTTGCTGTGTCCCACAGTCATCTGACTAATTTGCAATATTTTGCTGAATCTGCTTAACAATCAAGTGGTTTACTTCACTTTAAAGGCTACAGTGATTTGCTTTATGACCATTGTAAAAACAGACATAAAACTGAGCCTGCTCACATGGTGACCTGCTTAATGTTGAGACTCTAGAAAAAGTACAGAGAAGAGCAACAAAGATGATTAGGGGACTGGAGGCTAAAACATATGAGGAACAGTTGCTGGAATTGGGTATGTCTAGTTTAATGAAGAGAAGGACGAGGGGGGACATGATAGCAGTGTTCCCATATCTCAGGGGCTGCCACAAAGAAGAGGGAGTCAAGCTATTCTCCAAAGCGCCTGAAGGCAGGACAAGAAGCAAGGGATGGAAACTAACGTTCCTCTCTTCGTTGGATCTTGATTCCTCTTTGGAGGACTGTCAATCTTGTTAATTGGTCACCTTGTTGGACGGAGGTCTTCGCCACTTACGAGGTTGTGACCTTCAAAAATTCTTCTCTGACCTGTCGGTAAACAGGCTTTACCATATCCCAAAGGACGGACTCGTCCCCCAACCTGATCTACTGGAGGTACCGGGGTTCCAACTTTATTATTATTATTATTATTATTATTATTATTATTATTATTATTATTATTATTATTATTATTATTATTATTTGAACATTAATTTGTTGATGAGACAAAACCAATTATTCTAGGCTGTGCAGAACCACATCAATAATTTCAAGAAGCCATGTGTAGAATAATGCACAGCAACACTGGAGACAGAAGTACTACTGACGTCAGCCATTTTGTGTTATACAGAATTGTTGTGCCCTGGACCGGATTCAGTGTCTCCTTGCACCAGGAGCAGGACTCTCAAAGAGGAGTTCTATCTAGAATGCTGAAATACTATAAATTCTATTTCAATCATAGAAATATTCTGCCTGGAGGAACAATTTGTAATAACTTTCTCTCTCATTGGAGCTCTTAGTCATCCTTTCCATATTGTTCGACCGAATTCCACAAATCTTTGTAACGGACGTTTGGGAGAGCAAAGGTGCCCATGGAAAAGTAGGAGGTAGATAAAATTGTTTTATTTCTCCTCTTTGCCAGTGAGAAAAGGATACTTTTTATCACTGAGTGACAAATTTCATACTTCTACGCTTGTTCTCATGGGTACTCTATCACAGCTATTATCAAACTATTTTTTCCTAAATTAGTTTGTATCATTATTAGACGTATTGTCTGCTTTTGTGCTTTAGTCTGACTATAAAGTGGGCAGAATGTGATGTAATAAAATATTGTTTTATATTTTTTTGGATTATATATTTGAAGCAATAGAATTAAAAAAGCAAACATATTGAGTTGGGAATAATCAGGAGACTCAATGAACATATTGTCAATATCTTTTTTAAAGGATGCCTTACTTTACAGAAAAGCACTTAAGACTTATATACCGCTTCACAGTGCTTTACTCTCTGAGCAGTTTACAGAATCAGAATAATAATAATAACAACAATAACAATAAAGTTGGAAGGGACCTTGGAGGTCATCTAGTCCAACCCCCTGCTCAGGCAGGAAACCCTATATACCATTTGAGACAAATGGCTGTCCAGTCTCTTCTTAAAAACTTCCAGTGTTGGAGCATTCACCACTTCTGGAGGCAGGTTATTCCATTGGTTAATTGTTCTAACTGTCAGGAAGTTTCTCCTTAGTTCTAGGTTGCTTCTCTCCTTGGTTAGTTTCCACCCGTTGCTTCTTGTCCTGCCTTCAGGGGCTTTGGAAAACAGCTTGACTCCCTCTTCTTTGTGGCAACCCCTGAGATATTGGAACACTGCTATCATGTCCCCCCTCGTCCTTCTCTTCATTAAATTAGAGATACCCAATTCCTGCAACCGTTCCTTTATATGTTTTAGCCTCCAGTCCCCTAATCATCTTTGTTGCTCTTCTCTGTACTCTTTCTAGAGTCTATATTGCCCTCAACAATCTGGCTCCTCATTTTACTCAGAAGGATGGAATGCTGAGTCAACCTTGAGCCCTATCAGGATCAAGCTGCTGGCAGTCGGCAGAGTTAGCCTGCAATACTGTGCCACCACAACTCTTATAACTTGAAAACTACTGAAATAATAGTTCAGATCAGAATGGAAACCTAAAGTCCACTGCATTTCATTTCTGAAGATATAACAAACAAATTTTATTTAAAACAAAGCAAAATATTTCTTAAAGGTCACCTTCATCCATAGTATTCCATACAGATGTGGTATCTACATTTTCTAAGTGATTCAATAGTGTCTGTGGAGTTGAGATTTGCCAGTGTTTTCTGTCATTTATCGCATCTTCATTGTCAGCTTCTAAGGAGAAAAATCTTTATTATTTTGTCTGAAAGGATATAATATTAATGTTAATTATAGCTGATTCATGCAATTATCTACAGGTAATCCTTGACTTACAACAGTTCGTTTAATGGCCATTCAAAATTATAATGGCACTAAAAGTGACTGATGACCGTTTTTCACATTTATGACCGTTGCAGCATCCCACGGTCACATGATCAAAATTCAGCCTGTTAGCAACTGACTCACTTTTATAATGGTTGCCGTGTCCTGGGGTCATGTGATCACCTTTTGTGACCTTCTGACAAGCAGAGTCCAGGGCGAAGCCGGATTCATTTAACAACTGTATTATTAACTTAACAACTGCAGCGATTCACTTAACAGCTGTGGCAAGAAAGGTCGTAAAATGGAGCAAAACTCACTTAGCAAATGTCCCACTTAGCAACATAAACACGCTCAATTGTGGTCATAAGTCGAGGATTACCTGTATTTCATCTAGGACAGGGGTAGGCAACCTTGGCTCTTTTATGACTCGTGGACTTCAACTCCCAGAATTCCTGAGCCAGAAGTCTTACGATAAATTTTTGTTTAAAAGCCATTACTGTTATGGGCTAAATAATCAGTATTAAATTTCTCAAAACATTATCAGATGCAGATTGCAGTTCCTGTATGACCAACATAGAAGTGGACATTCTACAACAGGAAAGTGAGCGTTCTCAAAAATGTATATTTATTAAAAAACAGAGATTTGATATGGAGAAATGCAACTATTTAATAACAAGAACATGATTATTGACTGACAGATTAATGAAATGTCTACATCTGTCCATCTGTCCAAAGAAACTGGCTAGCAAGACTAACAGAAATTACTATTAGAAACACAAACAAAACCTAAGTTGCAGCCCCTATAAAAAAATAACAGTTTCCCCTACAGCAGTGATGGCGAATCTTTTAGAGACCGAGTGCCTAAACCGCAACACAAAACCCATTTATTTATCACAAAGTGCCAGGGCCTCATCAGCATTGTAGTGCCCTCGGGGGGGGGGCAGGGAGGCACCTCTGAGTGCCACCTCTGGCACGCAAAAACCAGGGGCGCAAAAATTGGCCACCATGCTGCAAGGCGCAAAAATGGCCACCACCGCGCTGCGGGGTGCAGATACAAGGTGCTGCACCACGCAAGAACAGGGGCACTGGCCCTGCCCCATTTGCAGCGCATACATGCTCGCGGCCCCATGTGCGCATGCACACATGTAAAATGTTTCCCCCTCTCTTTTCTTCCAGTCCACCAATCACCAATGGTTGGTGACCTCTGCTCTACCACCTCTACTCAAGCTTGCTAGTCGGCCGCTTTGCCTCCTTTGTGCTGGGCGGGGCTCCTGCTCCGGGCGGCGGCGGCGGCCTGATGGACCTGCTGCTGGAGGCTGTGGCGCACATGCCAACAGAGAGGGCTCTGAGTGCCGCCTCTGGCACGTGTGCCATAGGTTCGCCATCACTGCCCTACGGCCTATATACACCAAACTTCAATAAATTAACATCTGAGCCTTAGTGCCTGAGGAAAGAGCCAGGTCTTCATAACCTTCCAAAAGCCAAGTAAAATTAGGATTCTCCCTAGCTCGAGTCTAGAGGGGGAGTTGTTCCAAAGGACAGGCATCATGATAGACAAAGCATACTTTCTAAGATCTATTACATCAGGGGTCCCCAACCCCCGGCCCATGGACTGGAACCGGGCCGCGCCATGCCAGCAACCAGTCCGCGCAAACAAGCGAAGACCCATCCGCGGGATGCAGCCAGTACACAAAACCAAACCCCCTCCGGTCCATGGAAAAACTTCTCTCCACGGAACTGGTCCCTGGTGCTCAAAAGGTTGGGGGCCTCTGTGTTAGATGACTTTTTTTTTCTTCACTAAGGGAACCCAAAACATAGGAATGGAGGCAGAAACCGTCAGGTACAGGCAATCCCACAAGTAACCTGGTGCCACGGAATGCAGGGCTTTTAAGGTAACCACCAGGCCAATCTCCTTCCCAGCAACCCTCCCCAGAAAACCGTCCAATACAGCTGGGTCCAGCAATGGCTTCTTAAGGAACAGACAGACCACAGCATCCTTCAAGGCCGGAGGAATCACACCCTCCTGCAAAGACCTATTTGCCACTGCTTGAAACCAGCTACATAAAACTTCCTGGGTAGCTAGGACCTACTAGGACAGTGGTGGCGAACCTATGGCACGGGTGCCAGAGGCGGCACTTAGAGCCCTCTCTGTGGGCACACGTGCCGTCGCCCCAGTCCTAGGCCTTCAGCTGGGTTTTATAAAACCTTTTCGCTTTAGGCCTCTGCCACCCTGTGCAAAAAAAAAAAAAAAAAGGTTCAATCAGTCAATTTCAACTTCTTGCGGGGAAAAAAAAGATCTTGCAAAGTTGGAATGGATTGATTGAACTTTTTAGTCCCACCCAGTCTGCCGTTACCACCGCAGCCACGCCCACCCAATGGGCCACGCCCCCCCCAATTAGCCACACCCAGCCAATGGGCCACACCCACCCGGCACCCGACGATGCATAAGTGGGTTTTGGGTTGCAGTTTGGGCACTCGGTCTCTAAAAGGTTCGCCATCACTGTACTAGGAGGGACATGGATCTAACATATAGATGGAAAGATGCAATACCCCAAGGATCCTGTCCTCTTCCTCAGGAACTAGGATGGGGGATTATTGTTTTTTATCTTTTTTATTTTTGTTTTAGTTTATATTTTTTTTACTGTTTGTTAGCTGCCTAGAATCGCTGTGAGCGAATAGGCAGCTATATAAATGTTCTCAAACGAACAAGCAAACCAAGCCCAAATAATCAAATAAGACTGGGCCCCAGTCATGTACTGAAAACCAGCATAGCCGGAATCTAACTGTGAGTAGATCCCAGTGATTTTATCTGACAGGTAACAATGTTAATGATTTCAAGAAGCATACCCATCTTCCAGTGCCGTAATTCTTCCTCATAGTTTGCCAGTTTTTTCTTAAGGTTTTCTCCATGTTCAAAAGTCAGTGTTTCATTAAGTTTATCATGCTGCTGAAATCCAACACACAAAAAGTCAGTTTTGAAAAATTAACTTACGTTCTTTTTTTTTTTGAAGCAAAAGCACTGCAATATCAGAACCAGACAAATTGAATTATTGAATATCATCTATTATATGCTTTTCAATGAGACTTTTCACTTAAATAGCACATAATCTCTCTTCAAATTTTAACGAGAAGACATTTCATAGAGGGAATGACATATTTTCTGTCAATCATTTGATAATCTCTTTTAGAAAGACAGAAATCATAACCTGACTCAGGATTTTATATGTGCCAATCTACACATTTTCTGTGTGACAGATGCTCTATTTATCCTAACTTATGGTATCATATGGAGTAACTAAAGAGGTTTGTGTAGTAATACTTTATTTTATTGTATGTTTGTGGGTTTTTTAAAATATTCTGTGAATGTTCTCCATGAGGTTCCAAAGTAACTAATAAGGCACTGCACCAACCTAGACTAAAAAAGGAAAAGGTAGTTCATACTGAAAGATGACAAGATGAATATAGACTAACAATAGATCCCACGTCCCCCCCGCACATCTTGTGTCCTTCTCCTCCCATCTTTTAATTATAATTTTGTATTCTTTTAATTATAATTTTGTTTTCTCATTGTTATAGTTTTATTGCTTTTGATGTTATAAGCCATCCAAAGTTGCTTTGTGGTGAGATGGGCAGCAAATAACTTCAATGAATGAATAAATTAACAACTGCGGCAAGAAAGCTCGTAAAATTAATTTCAAAATTACTTAATTTCGTTGTGAGTTACACAGTGACAATAAAGATATTCTAGTCTAAGATGGGCTGAAACTCACTTAACAAATGTCTCACTTAACAATAGAAATTCCGGGCTCAATTGTGGTCATAAGTCGAGGACTACCTGCATAACTATGGTCCAGAATTATACCTCATTTTCTTCCGGGATGTTTTTCTCATCTGCTGCATCGTCTGTTAGATCAATCTGAAACTTTACCCCTCTCTGAAAAATAAAATGCAAAAATATGTAACAGCTGCCATAGAAAATTCATTAATTGCAAATACAGGTAGTCTTTGACTTACAAGAGTTTGTTTAGTGACCGTTCAAAGTTACAACGGCACTGAAATATGAGACTTATGATTGTTTTCGCAGTTACAGTTTTGCAGCATTTCCATGATCATGTGTGATCAAAATTCAGATGCTTGGCATCTGGCTCATAGTTATGCTGCATCATCTATTAGATCAATCTGAAACTTTATACCTCCCTGAAAAATAAAATGCAAAAATATGTAACAGCTGCCATAGAAAATTCATAGCTAGAATATAAGTTAGTGCAGAGAGAGAGAGAGAGAGAGAAGAGAGAGAGAGAGATGATTATCCCTCTTGTGCTATTGAATGTAGCAGCATAAAAATGCACAATCACTTTTTTCCCTCTGAGCAAGAGGGAAGACGTCAATTAAGTAAAAGGGACAAAGAACAAGGGATTTCTCTCCTTTATTTTGCTGAGATGTCCATTATAGCAAAATGAAAGAAAAAGACCCCTTATTCTTCATTCTTTTAAGTTTAGAGATACTGATACTAATATTCCAGTTGAAATGATATAATACAAAGGTGACATTATTATTATATATAGATAAGATATACATATAAACTGAACCTTTGCTTTCTGTTGTACTTCTGGATTGTTCTTCTCCTGCCATCTCTGTAGACCAATTTGTTTCAGGTTTTGTTCCATGTCCTAGGGAGAGGAGAGGAAAAAAAGCAAATTGTGCATCACTATTTGCACTAAAAAGATACATTAATAGGCAACTAAAAACAATAATGAGACCCATAGTTGGGGGGCAGAAGGGATCTTTTATGAATGCTAAACTGTTCTACAGAATCATTTAAAAATACTTTAGTCCAGGGTGATAGAGCATAAATCAGGATTTACTACTACAAGAATGGGCAGTGTGATAGATGTAATGGCCTAATATTACACGCATCGCACCAGAAACCTCCCACACAAGAGTTTATATTTTTGAAACTTGTTTCAGGTGATCAGATGTTTAAGGGATAAAATATGTGCCTTTGGCTTCGCGGTGGCTTCATCAACCCACAGCAACCCCAAAAACCTGAACTCTTCCCCCCAACATTTTGAAAGGCTTCAACAAGCAAGTTTGATTAAACAAACAAGCTTAATCTACAAGGATTAAGAGATTAATTTTACTCTTTAATCTCCAACCTCAAAAGTAGGGGAAAAAAGAATCCAGCCTTAGCCTGCCCAGTCTTATGGCATCAGGTCATCAGGCCACGTGTTCAAAGCCCTAGACAGGCTCCAAGGTCACCCCTCGCTCAGAAAGACACAACACTATTCTAGTAGATTTCCAATTAATTTGCTGTAGATGGAAGGGGTTTGTTTTCAACCACCGCTTTTTTAACAATTATTTCTGAGTCTGTTAGACTTGTTAATCTGTGTTAATTTTGATGTAGATTTGTATATTCAAGTTATCCCAGGATATGCCACATGCAATATTTTAGATAAATAGTTCCAAATGTAAGCTACCATTTTGCATTTAGCTTGGATGGATGGATGGATGGATGGATGGATGGATGGATGGATGGATGGATGGACGGGCGGATAGACAGAAAAAGCTGCTAACTCAAAACTTAAATTTGCACTCTTCTATCAAAAGAAAGATTAAACACGAATATGTTTGGTGGAAATTGCAATAAGATCTCTTATTTGTACTTTTATTTTAGTCAAACAAAAATAGAGTTCCTCCCTTTAATGAAGACACTACAATGAACCAAATGAAAAGGTTGTATCAAAACCAAAAGTGCTGATACCTGGCCTGGTTCATTTCTTTCTTCATAATTAGTATCAGGAACAGACTGGTCCTCACTCTTTCCCAGTTTCACAATATAGGTTTTGTCCCTTATGTTTTTATTTTCCTTTAAGATAATAGTCATAAACATAACATTTTAGGTTCAGCAGATGGATGTTAAGTATAAACATTAAAACTTTTGTCTCCATGAACTTTTACAGTGTCATAACAAAAGAAATAAATGATTGCAGAAAATAGCATTAGAATATGCATTTCCATCCAAATAATATTTTTAAACGTGGTGTATTTGCATTAAAGCAATCTACATTTAGGACTATGAAAAGTAACTTTAATTCTGGAACTTCCAAGGAAGAAATGGCAAACTGAGGATGGTTCCGGTGAGGGGGAAGCTGACAACCACAGTGGCATGAAGAGTCAGTGAATGGACTGACTCCTCACAATTTTTCTCTGGAGAAGAAGTGGACTTGGATCACCCACAAGTGCTCCAGACACTTGCTTCTCATGAGGAGACCACAAAACAGTGGACTCCTGTGGGTTTAAAGCAGGGCTTTTCAACCAGTGGTACAGGTACCACCTGTGGTACATTGGCACCTGGCAGGTGGTACGTGACCATCCTAGAAAAGTGGTAGCGGGGGGAGGGGAATGAGCTGAACCGGTGGCAGCACCGCACAAACCTGAGCGAGAGATGGCTGCAGCTGCAGGGCTGTCAGGGCTCAGCGGAAGTGCCAGGATCAGTGCTTCTTCAGGGCTGTCATGGCTCAGCGGAAGTACCAGGATCAGCGCCGCTTTGCAGCTGATCGGCGCTTCTTCGGGGCTGTCAGGGCTCAGTGGAAGTGCCAGGATCAATGCCAGGCTCCAGCTGGAGCTCGGCGCTGATCCTGGTGCTTCTGCTGAGCCCTGAAGAAGCACCAATCAGCTGGAAAGCAGCACTGTCCCAGGGTCATGTGAAGTGACCAAAACCTGCTGCAACCACCCAGCAGACGGGGGGAATAAAAACCAAACACCTCCCACCCCACTCCCGCTGCTCACAACAATGAAAACCTTGGACAGGAGGAAGAGCGTGGCCGGGCGGGCAGGCAGGTGTCTTGCTCGGCTGTGGCTTGGGGGGCATTTTTTCAGTGCCATTGCAACTTCAAACAGTCACTAAGTTGAGGACTACCTGTACTTTATCATTTTTTTCCTTTTTTGGGGGTCATCAATTTTTTGACACCTTGCTAGGCGACTGGTGGTACTCGGATGTTGCCATATCCTAAAAGTGGTACAATGGGTGAAAAGGTTGAAAAGCCCTGGTTTAAAGCTCTGGGAGATGAGATAATACCAGCTGTGGTTTAGCACCTACAAAAGGACACAAGATTTCTTAATCACCTTTGGAAATTGTTTGTTAACTGCTTTTAAGATATTAGGAACCTTTATAATGGCACGTTTTACTACACTAGAGGAGTGTCCTAAAATCTTTTGAGAAATACATTTTTAAAAAGGAGGTTTTGTGCAGGGGAGGTTATGAAACAGAGAACACTTGGAGGCTGGATAAGTTTACCCACGCAACCCAGAAACAAAGTTTCCATAAATATGATACAGATCCCTCCCTCCATATGAAAGTAAGATGAAAAATTATTTTGTGTTTCTTTCATGAATCTCTCAATCTTTTTAGTGCATACTATAACTACCATTTCATTAAAACATACAATAATGATATTTAACTTCAAAAGACAAGTTTTTAATTTATCACGTTAAAGATTCTTATGATCACAGAAAAACAAGTATAAGACCAGTAATGGTCAACGTGGACAATGATTGGTATTACTGTGGGCTTAGTGTAATTGTGTTACTATTTAGTATATTTACGGTATTATAGGTTTATAGGACCGTGTTCATTAATCCAATGTCGTACATATACTTACTGTAGTATATGTATAAAACAGTAGAGTGAGGGAACTGGGAAGGAGTCGGTAAGTATACCATGTTAATCGGGAGCATTTGAAAGAGGCATTTCGCATTATATGTTAGTCTGAATAAATCTTCTTTGGAGCTTTAAAACAGTCACATATTTTGCAAGGCTTGAGCAGTTGCTTCAAGAGCTGTTCCTGGCTGTCTCAACATGGGTGTGCATGCACAGCCACTCTGCTTTGTGCAGTCCCATCGAGGTATTGTAGTCTATGCATGCACATGTATATTCAAAACAGCAGGGACAGTTTTTGAAGCATCTATGCTAGTCTTGGAAGTTTTTTTTAATCCTTTGAAGAAAGATCTGTTGTTTGGGCTAAAGTGCTTTGCAAATCATCTGATTCCAATGCTTTCCATAGCCCATCAAGTAACTATTTGATCCAAGGACATTAACCTTAACTGCTTTAAGGCGAATTTCATTTACTTCACTCTGGTACTGTTGGCGAATTTCATATAACTGCTTCAGGTATTCCTGCAAAACATTATTGGATTTTAATAAAATGTATCTGTACAGATATCTTTCAAAACAATTCTTAATATGGAAGAAAATATCCATTAACATTATACAAGTTAATGCAAAACTAAGTCCCACAGAGAAGTAACTTCCCAGAAGTGTAAGAATTGGACTGCAACTTTATGGACACATATAGAAAATGAATATCAATATTATGGACACATACTTGGTTTTTAAAATTTTTCTACTGTGAACACACTGTAATCTGGCTTGTAATGACATTTTTAAAATCCCTGTAACATTTCAAATTATATTCAGGTTTGTTATTAAATAACTGTATAGTTTCTGTACAATTTTCTACTTAACAATGGAACTGTATTTTGCCAAGGATTAAGATAAGTTGAACATGAACTGTATTTTAATGCTTTAAAAATGGGGGAACCCTTTTTAATTGATTACAGGAGTTATGCAGCTGTCTATCTCATAAAATGATATTAGGTGGCTCACAACAACTCATATAAACAAAGTGAAAAATAAAAATACCCTTCTGCCTCAAGCACCAAACCAAACAGGTTGTTTCTCTAGCCCAACAGTTCTTGTAAGAAGAATTTTGGATTTAATGTGAGATGTATCTCTACAATGCATGTTTACAGTCTAATTTAATCTTTCATCTTAAACTGTAAAAAATGCAGACATGATATCAAACACTTTTACCATCTTGCCTGTTGACTAGATCTTGAGAATGTAAAAGCCTATATCCTATTTTGTTGCCTAACAAAAAGTTTGCTTTACTCTGGATTTTATAATTTTTCTAATGGTACATTAAAATGCAAAAAGTTATTCTGATCTTCTGTTGTGGCTTCCCCAAATCGCTCTGCAGAAAGTGTTCTTGGAGACAGCAAAAACATGATGCTTTGTGGAATCCCTCCAAATAAGGGCTAAAAGTTAATTTGAAGAGAACTAATTTTATTATTAAAGGAGCACTGGAGTGACAGTGGTTAGAATGCAGTATTGCAAGATGACTCTGCTGACTGCCAGGAGTTCAATCCTGATGGGTTCGAAGTTGGCTTAGCCTTCCATCCTTCCGCGGTCGGTAAATTAAGAAGCAAGATTATTGGGGGCAATATGCTGACATTGTAAATTGCCCAGAGAGTGCTGTGGTATATAAGTCTAAGTGCTATTGCTATTAAGAGTAATGTAAAAATCTTACAAGGGAAAACATGCAATACTCTCTGGGATAGACATCAGGTATACATGCAATGTTCTATCATGGCATGTCTGTGCCTGAAAGTAGGTTTGCAAAAACTTTTATAATTAGCACATTAATCATGAATGCAAAACAAGATGTCAGTTAGAAACATGAGCAGCTGATCAGTCTGAGAAATGTGCTCCCTGGAAATTCCTCACCATCTCTGCATCTGGACATTTCCCCCATATATCTTCCCAGGCCATGCTATATATCTACTAGTTTTTTATACTAAAACCCCATACATTAGTTAAACACAGTATTAGTACGATTCACATGGCTTCTCCCTCAGTTCTAAGGCTGTGACATGCTACTTAGAAAAAGAAGGGATTTTCAAAAGCTTCTCATATTGAAAGATCACAAACAGTTGCCAATCAAGTCAAATCAATTTGCCCTGGCCATTGTCAAATTGCAAAATAGCAAAATAAGTGTATTATAAAGCCATTGAAGTTGCTGTTTGAACCATACTGTTGGTTAAAACTAAATAATATAATTCTGAATACTCCATCCTTAAAGAAAGAAAAATTAGGAATAGATAATCATAGAATTAAAAGGGACCTCAGAGGTAATTTAGTCTAATCTCTAGCTTATGCAGTATCCACTACAGCAGTGGTGGCGAACCTATGGCACGGGTGCCAGAGGCGGCACTCGGAGCCCTCTCTGTGGGCACATGCGCCGTCGCTCCAGTCCTAGGCCTTCAGCTGGGTTTTATAAAACCTTTTCACTTTAGGCCTCTGCTACCGTGTGCAAAAAAAAAAAGGTTCAATCAGTAAATTTCAACTTCTCACGGGAAAAAAAAAATCTTGCAAAGTTGGAATTGATTGGTTGAACTTTTTAGTCCCACCCAGTCTGCCGTTACCACCTCAGCCATGCCCAGCCAATGGGCCATGCCCAGCCAATGGGCCACGCCCAGCCAATGGGCCACACCCACCTGGCATTCGACGATGCATAAGTGGGTTTTGGGTTGCAGCTTGGGCACTCGGTCTCTAAAAGGTTCGCCATCACTGCACTACAGCATCTGTGGCAGATGACCGTTTACCGTGTTTCCCCAAAAATAAGGCCTATCCTGAAAATAAGCCCTGGTTTGATTTTTACGCATGCGCCTAATATAAGTCCTATCCCCAAAATAAGCCCTAGTTTTGGGGTGAAGCACACATGTAAAAATCAAGCTAGGGTGGAGGTGGGGGGTGGAGCTGCCCCAGGTGCCCTACACTCACTTACCTTAGGACTACTGCAGCCAGGCTTCCCACAGCCCGACACCTGTTACGCCGCTGCCTGAGTTCTTGTGCAGCTGCTCGCAGCCGCTTGCGGCCGGATGCCATATAGCGTATCACCATGCGGCCTCCTGCCATGAGCAGCAGCACCGGCACGAAGTACCATGTGACATTCTGCTGCGAGGGGCGGCACTGGCGCGATGCACCACATGGCGTCCGGCCGCGAGCGGCTATAGAATAGCTCGGACAGCGGTGCAACAGGTGTCGGGGCGTGGCAGGTTTGGCTGCAGCGGTCCTAAGATAAGCGGGTAAGACATCCCCCGAAAATAAGACCTGGTGCCTCTTTTGGAGGAAAACAAATCATAATAAAATGGGTCTTATTTTGGGGGAAACACAGTAGCCTTTATTCTCCTTCATAAAATACAGGTAGTCCTCAACTTACAACACTTACATGGCACTGGAAAAAAATGAGTTATGACCATTTTTCACATTTACAACTGTTACAGCATCCCCATGATCATGTGATTAAAATTCAAATGCTTGGCACCTGACTCATATTTATGACAGTTCCAGCATTCCAGGGTCGCAACCTTCTGACAAGCAAAGTCAATGGGGATGCCAGATTCACTTAACAACTGTATCACTAACAACTGCAGCAATCCACTTAACAACTTTTGGCAACAAAAGTCATAACATAGGGCACATTTCACTTACCTGTAGAGACATTCTATATATTTTTTATGACAAAGTAATAAGTAGGTAGAAATGTCTATTATTCCAATCATAGATTCTTCAGTCCATATCCAAATGCTCTGGGCAGGCTCCCTTACCTGTTCTTTCATTTCATTTTTTTGAGGAAGAGCATTATTACAGACTTTGAGCTGTTCTTCCTTCATTTCTTGATTCTGCAGCTGACAAAATTCAGCAGAAGATGGCCGTAGCCCCTATTGATATGTAAAATAATTAACTAACGTGAAAAGCAGTGTCTAGAAAAGATTCTTCTTTCATTTTTATGAGCCCATTACACGTAAAAGAAAAATCAAAATGCAAATATTATTACATTTAAAGTAGCATTTCATGTTGGTACCAGTAAAAAAGAATAGGACCTCCAAAATTTATTTGCTCCAATCTGTGTTTCTTTGATTATAGAAATTGCTTACCAGTTGCTTCTCTACTTTTAACTTGTTTTGCTGAGCATTAAATCGTCTCTGAAGATATTCTGAAGGCCTGAAAAACATAACATTCATTGAAAACTCGAAATAGAAAAAAGGGATATCGTGTCAAAAATCAATAGATGTTTCCATATTCAAGAAAAAAAATACAACCCATGAGGTGGAGGCGGAGGTGGTTCTTGTCCTTTCTGCTTATAATATTCTTCCATTCTCTGGCCAATACAGGGATCATCATCTTGGACTAACGCTCTCTTTTGCAGGCTTGCCAGCTTTACGTAATAATGGTCATAATGTCCACACATTCTAATGACCTCTGGCTTCTTACATATTTTAAACGCAGGACCCAAGGGCTGAAAATATTAAATTTATAAAGACAACAAATCCAAAATATTGAAGATTGATTAAATCTGAACTGTTACCCCTTGTGACATTCATTTTATTAAAACATGTTCATTCTGAGCCCAGTGAATGGAAATCAATTTTACATAAAATAGTGTGATCTAACTATTGTCCTGATCAAAAGAAACACTGAGATGATCAATAAAAATGATCTTTTCTCCTCAGCAAAGCAGAATGTAACAACAAAACGAGCAAATTACTTTTCTGCATCTTATCCTTTGCTAAGCTTTAAGTGTTAAGCCTTCAGCTAAATATTTGAGCACTGATGCTTTATAACAACAATTGCAGTCATTTGGCCAGGACCATGCCGTCCTTAGGTGAGGACCTCATACTTCTACTTTGCTGCATTTACCCCTACTTCAATCTCTGTCATTTTGGCTACTCTGCACGCCACCACTCCTGTTCCCCACTGCTGCCCCAGCTGATTTTTGCCATCGTCTTTCTCCTGCTGCTTGATAAGGTATGCCAAGCCTCACTCTTCGTGATGGCATTGTTGGCCTCACAAGGGCTTCCCGAGCAGTGGGAGAGAAAAAACATACAGTGAAGGTTACTTGGGAGTAGCAGGGAGCAGTAGGGGTCAGCAGAGCAGTGTGGAGCAGTAGAGAAGTAGGGTAGAGAGACCAACAGCAAAGAGATGGTGGGGAGAAAGACAGGTGGAAGGAGTTGAAGCACACCCTGCGGTCATAAATGTGAGCATGCTGCCAAGCATCTGAATTGTGATTATGTGACCATGGGGGGCACTGCATTGGCTGTGATTTTGAGGACCAGTCAAATACCATTCATTCAGTGCTGTTGTAATTTTAAACCCTCACTGGCTTAATAGAACTTGAATAGAATACTTTATTGGCCAAGTGTGATTAGAGACACACAAGGAATTTGCCTCCGGTGCCTAATCTTTCAGTGTACATGCAAAACAACAAAGTAATAATAATAATGATACCAATAAGAGAAGGTAGTGGAACAGATGAGTAGGATAAAAGTAATACAGCCATACTACATGGGTAAATATACTTAGACGTAAGACAGTGGTGTGGGAATTAGGTATTCAGCAGAGAGATGGAACAAGGAAAAACACTGTCTTTATGTCTAGTTGTTTTTGCATGCAATGCCTCGTAGCAGCATCCCAAGGGAAGGAGTTGAAACAGTTTATGTCCGGGAGTTGAAACAGTTTATGTCCAGGATGTCCAGAATGATCATAAACACATGACTAGGTTAGCAATATATAACTCTTACCTTAGCAAAAGGTAACTTTTACCTTAATAATTGGATCCTGAATCCTTGAAGGAGAATAGCATTCATTTTTATACACTAATTTTCTAGGAAGCATTTCCATCTTGATTTTGGGAGAACGATAATCATGGAGTCTTCGTTTCTGACCTTTAGGAGTTTATGTAACAATAATAAATAATGTTTGGTTAATTACTTCTACATTTAATAAATATTAAGAAAGGGACTGACAGACATGTAGGTTATCTCTACACTTTGCAATTGAAAAAGAGCATTATTCCCTTGAAAATCAGCAGTATATATTGAGTTGGGAATCACTTGGTTACCACAAAATACACAGGTCTCTTCTAATTAAATGTTTTTCCATAAGATATGAAGTAAGAAGGGTAATCCTGAAAAATATAGCATTTCTATTCAACAATTTATCAAATTCCCATTATGTTTAATGGCTCAGTTTTAAGTACTAAGGAAGTCTTTAGTTATGTGTCAGCACAATATTTATCTGAACCAAATTAATCCTCAGGCTAGCCTTCTACAACAACCAGGGATTTGACCATATACAGCAAGGGTGTCAAACTGCCGGCCCACAGGTCAGAAGCATCATAGCAAAACTGTGCCCACCCCACTGCCGGCAATGGCAAAAAAGTCATGATACGTCGCGACACGTCACGTGATGTTGCGAGTTTGACACCCCTGATATACAGGATGGAAAGTTCCAGGCTGCCAACACCCAATATAAAAATTGGTTCAACTGGTTTTCTGCCTGCCATCCCAACTTTGTAGAGCCATTGTCATCAACTGCCTTCTGGGAAGGATCCCTGAACAGAAACAGAAGGGATACAACCACTACAACAGATACTGAACAGATACTGAACATTACAATCAACTTCTCTGTGGAATGAAAAGAGAAAAACTGCTCAGAGGGATTTTTTTCCTTCTTTCTCTCCAACCTCACCATTATAACCAACTTCTTGCAGGAACAACTGCAGATGGATATTTCCTTTTTTTAAAAATAATATTTATTTACCAAGCATAGGCTTGGATTTATTTTATTACAATCCAATTTTAATTTTTTTGAAGGAAGAGTCATCTCTGACTAAAGCAATCCCAAGTTTCTTCTGTGTCCCTTGTCTCTCCTATAAATCAGAAGGACCTGTTGATTTTTCCTTGCACAACGGAGCATATCTTGAAAATACAGCTTTCAGGTTATACTCTATATTTACTCAATCTCTGCTGACACCTTTTCCTCAACGAAAAGATGCATGCCGTGGTGACGCAGTAGTTAGAATGCAGCATTGCAGGCTAACTCTGCCCGCTGCCAGGAGTTCGATCCTGACTGGCACAAGGTTGACTCAGCCTTCCATCCTTCTGAGGATCCAGATTGTTGGGGGCAATATGTTGATATTTGTACACCGCTCAGGGAGTGCTGTAAAGCACTGTGGAGCGGTATATAAATCTAAGTGCTATTGCTATTGCTTTTGCTATTTTACAACCTCTTCATTTCTTGAAAGTGGCCATTCCATAATCGACCTCAGTGTAAAACAAATTTCATACATATGGTCAAGTGTAATGTTCTTATTTTTAATATAAACAATCACTTGCCTAATGATGAAGCTGATGACTTTTTCCTGTGAATAACAGTATGACTGAATTCTGCTTCAATGATCTAGAAAGGAATACAATGGAGTGCAATTATTTATTTCTGTGCTACATCAAGGGTGTTTCAAGTAAATGTACCAAATGTTATTTTATTCTAACTCAATGCAGGGAGAAACAAACATACCCTCTTGGCGTTTTTGTCCTGGGGAAAACTAGCAATACCAAAAAAATTTATTTGGTAACAATAAAAGTGGAATTTATCTGTGTATTTGGGGAAATTATAATGCCACCCATCTTGCGTACATAACCCTGGTCAGCCAGCAATCCACACAAAGAGTTATATAGAAAATAAATTGTAAAATAATTGTATAATACAAAACAAAGTTAAAATAACAATCCGACAATAACCAAGTCCCGATAACAGATTCACAACACAACTACATCTATTTTGGGCTCAATTAACATCCTGGCCCAGTGCTTGAAGCAAGGGTTATTTTTCACAGTCTTCTGTAAAGTCAGAATGCTTACAGCCCTCCAAATATAAGGGGAAGGGTGTTTTATAATGAACAGAGCCTTCTTCCACATAAGAAGAGGTAAAAAAATACCGTCAACAGATAAAGGAGTTTTGAATGGACCAAGCAATTCTCAGCCACAAAAGATACTCACCTCAGGTGGCAAATAATTCTTTATCTGCAAGAGGTTTTTCCGAAAAAAATTTTATCTCAATTATCTTCCCGCTAGAGAACCTCTTCAAGATTTGTTGACCCTATAATTGTTAGAGTCTAGCCTTCTTATGAAGTGTCTGTGTCCTTACTTTACCGGAGACGTCTAGAAGTAATATTCAACCCCGTTTAACAACGGAAGTTTGATAGTGTACTTTTATTTCAGTTGTAATTGAATTGAAACAGTGATTTAAACAGAAATACATAACAGTACTTACCTAAAATAAAGGACAGATGAGGGCAGAATAGTCTTAAGTCTTCTTTTAATAGCACTGTCCAATTCATCAGATCATTTCATATCTACTATTTCTCACTGATGATATCGTCTGCTTCCCTTATTTGTGAACTACCACCCTGCTTATCAAAAAGTACTGCAACGGCAGTCAAAGTATGTCCTACTTTACATTATATTACATTATACCCCCAAAAATCCATTACTAAAACACATCTAAAATGTTAAGGCCATGTGACTGATTCTTTCACAAATGGTTGACACTGGAAATGACTTACCCATTCATATTTATTTGTTTGTTTGTTTGTTTGTTTGTTTGTTTGTTTAGCTTATGGTATATCATATGTGGACTAGCAATATATATTAACATTCTACTTAGAGTAGTAATATACACTAAAATATAAATGTTAAAAAGATCAGTGTTCAAATACCAATATCCAGGCCATCTAATCACTGAAGCGCAGCATTGTTTATATTAAAAAAAAATCAGATACTGATCCAGCATATGCCCTCAGTTTACAGATGGTCACTATGTGATCGCAGTCACATTGAGGGGATGATACTATGCTCCATTTATCCATCCCGGCAGATGCCATGTGAGGTGCGAATCCTATTCAGGACTGTCCATTGCTGGCATGATTGTTCAAAGTGTGGCACCTTTTTTGTGAGGTTTATGTCTGGGCGCTCAGTGACCCATTTGGCTTTCCATTTGAGAATCAATGTGAAAGTTGTTGGACAGATATTGTGCAAGTGCCAATGGGGGAATCCTGGATTTGAGTCTTCCAGCTGATAAATGAGAAAGATCAGCATGCAGTAAGGAACCAGAAGGAATATTATTCCTCAGTAGGAGTAATAAAACAATAATTTACCAAAAGGCAAGCCCATCTAAGTCCATTATTTTATTCTCATGGTAGCCAAAAAAGTGCTAAAAGAATCCCAGAGCAAGACAAAAATACCACAGCACAGTTGTGTTCCTAACATTTTACGTCAAGATGCATATTCTTTCAATAAAACATATGTAGTCATTATGTCTAATAGAAATTGTTAGCCTTATCAGTTGTGAATTTTTCTATTTCTCTTCTGAAATCATGGTAGTTTAGACATTTAAAGAAACTTTTTTGATGGAGTATTTCTTTCTATCTGAAAAGGGAAACTCACACGATATTACTACTATAAAACTGGTATCTTTCTACACTGTTCAAAATGTTGATTCTAATAGCTTGTCACTAAATGATCTCAATAAATATTTAGTTATGGCGGTATAAACATTTACTTACAGGATGCTTTAAAGTACACAACTCATATAACACACAGCCAAGAGACCATATATCTCTATAAAAGAAAATAAGAAATTAGAAGAATTAAAATAATATTTAGTAACCCAGCAAAAACATCTATTCCAACTATGTGGTTATGCAAAAAGTTGATTATTCATATTCTATTTAATATTATTTATAATATACTATTTATTAAAACATTGTTATTATAGCTACCAATAGTCCTTGCTTAACAAACGGTTGCTCTAATTTTGAAGTTTTGACGATTGCATCCCTCCCAAGATCATGTGATTGTATTTTTGGTGCTTGTCAATTGGCTCATGTTTACCAGTCACGTGACCACAACCTCTGGCAATTTTTGCCAGCATCCAATATTTATTTCCAATTTCTGGCAAAAAAAAAAAAAAAAAAGCCCATTGAGTATAATGGATTCATTTAACAACTGCCATAGAAAAGGTAGTAAAATCAGGTCCATGACCAGTGCTTTTTTTGTTAAAAAAAAAAAAAAAAAAAAA